GTTTGTTAGTATGTTTATAGTAGTTGTGTTAATGTGTTAAATTTTAGTTTTCCAAAAGCTTGTCGTGTTTAGCTTGAGGATTTTTGTTTGTGTAAATTTTGTAGTTGAGTAGTGTTGGTGTAGTGGAGGATAGGCATGAGAAATCAGAGATGTTTTGGTTTTTTTGTGTTTTTCTGCTACCGCTAAGCGCGGTCTAGCCCGTTTAGCGCGCTTAGCCGAGTTGCACCAGTGAACTCTTTTTGTTTCACTTACCTTTATTTTTCCCACTTACACCAAGAATTTGTAGGTTACATAATATTAGTATTTACTAATTCTTTTTTTGTTGTTGTTTGGACTCAAATTTTGGCTCGTTAGCTTGAAGTCACATTTGGTGATTTTCCGAGTTTGAGTGTTTCAACTTACGGATGTATGGTAATGATTTTTTTTTTAAGTTTCTTCATTCAAGGTACTCATTTATCTCTTTCTATAGCATAACATGTTTAGGAAACTTATCATTTATACAAATTTCATGTCATTCATTCTTTTACATTACTTGCTTTTAATTGAATCCCTTTAGTTCCTTTTTATGTGAGGAAGCTTTCCATTGTTCATATATGCTGGATACCACAATTCTTGTTTTAATTGGATTTTATTATGTTTAATATTTTGTTTGTGTTGATTGTATGAAAGCATGAAAAGGATCAAGGAATTTTTGTTTCATTTTGAGCACAATTACCTTGATCAAATAGTCAATTCACCTTGTGAGTATGTGCATTTTTGTTAACCCCTTTGAGCTTGTGTCAATATCCATGTTTCATTTGAGCTTGATGCTTGTCTATGAGTGTTTAATTCATCCTTTTTGTATGGATTTTGATTCTTTTATTTCTTGAACCCTCATTCGTGTGTTGTTGTATGCACTTTTACCCCACCTTAGAAAGTAGAGAGTATTCACACTTTGATGTTGGTTGAATTCAAGTTGGGGAGAGAAATGTTTACTCATTTACTTGTTGGTTGTTATGCGGTTGTGAAAAAGAAAAAGAAAAGAAAGAAAAAGAAAAGAAAGAAAAAAGAAATAAAATAGAAAGAAAAGAAAAAGAAAGAAAAAAGATGAAAAAGTTTTGAAACTGGAAAACAAAAAGAATAGTTGTGCAAATAAGTATGTGTTTGTTGTAACACTTGTGATGAAAGAAGAAGTTTGATTGGAATTTTCTGTTTGAAACTTTGTGAGTTGATCACTTCATTAGGTTTAGGAAAAATTTATTTCGATTAACTTTAGAAATTACCCCTTGTTTGTTAACTAAGGCACATTACAACCTTGAAAAGTCCTTGTGATTCTTGTCTTTGTATGTTCAATGTGAATTTTTGGATGAATGCATAATTTAGTCTTTTGTTTTCAAGATTGTTGGATGAGTGTCAAATCCTCACCTTTGTGTGTTTTTCATCCCTCGATGAATTTTTGTTAAGTGTGATTCATGATGTGGGCTTGTATTGTTTTAGATGGTTTAACATGATTTTTGTACTTAGGATTAGTTTCATTTTCATGTTGTCGTTGTAGGATTTTGGTAAGTCTTGTGTTGTTTGTGCGTTTTTGTTTGAACCATACATTTATTTTTCATTTTCAAAACTTGTTGATTCATGATTCTTTGGTTAGTTACTTTTGTTATTTAAGTTGTTTGACCTTGTTTGAGGACAAACAAGTTCAAATTGGAGAGAGTTTGATAAGTATCAAAATGTAGTTATTTTGTATATATATTTTGTGGCACTTATCGGTTCTTTTTTTAATATTCTTTGAATAATTCCCCGCTTTGTTTGTAAATATGTATATTCTGTGTATAATTGAGTTTTTTATTCATTTGTGTACCATTTAATAAATTTAATGTCTTTTTGTAGTTTATGTCACATATTCGAAGCATTGAGGAATAAGGTGTCGAAGGCACGACTCCGGAAAAGCATTTTTTAGAAGAAATGCTCAGACAAGCCCGCTTAGCGCAGTTTGTAACACGCTACAGGTGTTTTTGTGAAGTCTGGTAGAAGCACATTTTCTGAGTCCGTTAAGCACGATTGGCCCGCTTAGCGGGAATTAAACAGTTTGATGTGTTAAATAAAGGCAGCCCGCTTAGCGCGTTGATGCCGCTTAGTGCCGTCTGCTGAATTTTGTTTGATAACATTCATTTCAATTCATTTGTTAGGTTATGATTTTGGGGTATTTGTTTCCAACTCCATCAACCTTCATTTTTTTAGTTTTGAGAACTTAGAAAAGCATCAATGGAGGTTGCAACTCGATGATTAGGGGTGAATAATTCTTGGATCATGATTGACACCGCGGGAGATTTTAATTCCTTTTCTCTCTTCCCTTTGTAGTTTCCATTTGTTGTGAGTTTTATGTAAAGTTACCTTGATTATATGTATATTTATTGCTCATGGTGTTGTATAAAACTCATTTTACAAATCAATATTGATGATTGCTTTCTTTATTTGGGTTTGAATTGTTGTAGACATGAACGAGTCAAAGCCGAATTTAAGATGAACATCTATTAGGTTGTAGACTCTAGAGATAGATTTAGACTTAATATTTATTTGGGTATCGGATCTTAATGCTTCCGTGTTGTTTGTGTTGCGCTGGGAAATCGCCGGCGCGAGTAATGCGGTCTTGTATCACTCTGTGTTAAGAGATAACTTCTGTGTGAGAGATACATGATAACGTTGACGAGTGATTTAGGTTGAGTACAACTGAGTGATGGGTTTAAGTATTTGACATGGTAGATGAAATGCAAACCCGAGACTTGTCGAATGACAATTCAATAGCACTAATTCTTTTAGAGACGATATGATAAAATTAAATAAATACTTATTTTTTGCTTGCCGCTTTATCGCTTCAGCAGTCCACCCCTACATCGCTGTATCAGAGATGAGCACCACCAATTCAGGATTCTTCACCATTAACATACACTCAATTCTGATTCCTGAACGAAACACCTATAATGACTATTTTAATTATTATAATTTTACAAAAGACCGTTACCTAACAACGTTAAGTAACCCACTTTGTTTGAAACGATCCTCATTGTGTTGGAGAATATAATAACAGTTAGAGAATATTTTATAGCACATAATAATAAGTCTATTTTACAAAATATAATTCCCTAACAAATTGATGATCAAGGAGCCCACTTAGTCTGAGGTGACCCCTGAGATACGGGAGGAATATAATGCATCAAACTAAGCCTTCTATAGCGTGTAAACTAGACTAATCTATGATACTATTTATGTCAATATTCAAGTAATCATAAGAGTCTTATAATTTTATTAATCGAACAAACAAATCTAAAGTTAAATCTCATTGAAATCTAAACCAATTCTCTCAATTCTGTAGATAGGACAAAGCATTGCACTCAAATAAAATAATTTAACTTGGTAAATAAAAGTTCATTATAGAGGTAATCAAGAAGGATTGCATTGTTCATATTGTAAGGAGTAAATCATATATGGGAAACCTAATATAGCCACTAATTTTTAAAGGATTCATGATTTTACAAGTAGAAAGCAATAATTAAAACTTACAACAAGTATGGAAGATTTCTTAATGGTAGCTTTTGTTTTCTCTACTTCTTGATGCCAAAATATGCCTTAGATTATTAAAATTTTCTAAACCTTAATGAGTAAATCCATTTTACAATTTATAGAAAATTCTAAAGATGATAGATCATCTTGCGCCTCTACTTAATAGTTCCACTAATGAAGGATTCCTCTGTTTTTAATCGCGTCGTGGTGCTAAATCATACATGGATAAACATGACTCTGTTTTTATTATTGTTTTGAATCGCATCGTTGTGCTAAGGATAAACATGACTTTGTTTTCATAACTGATTTGTTTTTAGAGACCTGCACTTAATTTTATGGATTTGGAGAACGCGTGGGATAAAGTATTTAGAAAGATTTTTTGGAAATCCTAAAAAATAAAGGAATTAAGATTGTATATATTTGAGCTATCTAAGTATTGTATGAATTAATATCGATTAGTGTGCGAACATAGCAGAGAGACATATGATTTTCCTATTATAATAGATATACATGAAAGTTCAACCCTAAACCTCTATTTGTTTACCTTAATGTTAGATGTACTCACGAAACACATTCAAGAGTCAGCACCGAAATGCATGTTTTTTGTAGATGATATAGTCCTTTTTGGAGAGTCGAATGCTGATTTAAATGAAAGGTTGGAGACTTACAGACGACTTTTAGAAACACATAGTTTTCGCCTAAACAAAAATAAGACAAATTATATGAAATGTAAGTTCAACAAAAGAAGTGTTTCTAACATAGAGATGTAGGTTGGAGACCGTATCATCCTTCAAGTCGTATGGTTTAAATATTTTGGGTTACAATACAAAATGATGGAGAAATAGAAAGGACCGTAAATAATTAAATTCAAGCTGAGTGGCTGAAATGGAGAACGACTCCAGGTGTATTATGTGACGCAAAAGTAACACTCAAGTTGAAGAAATTTTTTTAACGAACTACCGTAAGACTTGTGATGTTGTACGTGCCCGAATGTTAAATGGTTAAGAATCAAAACAAAAATAAAGTAAATGTAAGAAAGATAAGAATGTTGTGGTGGATGTGGTAAGACTCAATAAGATAAGATTGAAAATGAAAATATTAGAGATTGTGGTGGATGTGTCACATATTTTAGAAATATGTGCAAACTATAGTAATGGAGAAAATGGAGGGAAGGAGAAATGAAGAGGATTTTAACGGGGAGGGATCCTCTCCCATGAAGTTTTTATGCAGTGGAATCTCATCCACTTGCTAAAAAGTTAAAAGTAAATAAAACATGAAAAAATATAATTTTAAGGGTTAGATTGTACCTTGAACCTATACTTTCTCATTTCTCAAGTATGATAATTTATATTAACCAATAAAAAGTAATATAAAAATAACTGTAAACTATATGCAAGCTATACACAAAACTTGAGTAAACTTTGCATGTGAAGATATAAAGAAAAACATTAAAATTGCCTTCATAGAGTTTGTGGAAAGCTTTCCCTGCTGTTTTTAGCACTAGATTCTGAATCAGCTTCAACCCTCCTAAAAACCAGCTTTTGCTGAGGAAGTTGACCATTGGCAAGTACTGTGACTTCTGTGTCTACTAAAATTGTGTCCTCTTCCTTAAATTCTCCTCTAAGAATACCCTTTGCAAGTTCATTCTCCACATTTTGTTGAATCACTCGCTTCACCGGCCTAGCACCATAGTTCGGATCATACCCTAAACTTGCAAGAAGTTGAATAGCTGCTTCTGTTACCTGGATTTTCATCTTGCGGTCTGCAACTCTCTTCTGCACGCGCTCCAACTGCAATATTGAACACAAATATGCGAGTCTTAGCATGTAAAAAGCGGGGAACTAAAAAACCGAGGACTAGGATGAAATATATATATTAGATGTACTATCTATTTTAGTCAGGACAAAGTTACCTGTAATCTCACGATGCTACTTATTTGGTCACGGTCAAGAGGCCGGAAAACAATATACTCATCAACTCTATTCATGAACTCGGGGCGAAAAATCGATCTCGCAGCATCCATTACCCGCTGCTTTATGATTTCATAGGCTAAATCTTTTGGTGCAGTGTCATCATCTGTGTTGAGAATGTACTGTGATCCAACATTTGAGGTCATGATGATGACAGTGTTGGTAAAACTTACCGTGCGGCCCTGTGAATCGGTTACTCTTCCGTCATCCAAAATTTGAAGGAAAACATTGAAAACATCTGAGTGTGCCTTTTCAATTTCATCGAACAAAATAACTGCATATGGTCTTCGACGAACTGTTTCTGTTAGTTGCCCTCCCTCTTCGTACCCAACGTATCCAGGAGGAGCACCGATCAATCTCGAAACCGTATGTTTTTCCATGTACTCGCTCATATCAATTCGCACGAGCGCTTCTTCTGTATTGAACATGTAGGAAGCAAGGGCTTTGGCTAGCTCAGTTTTTCCTACACCCGTGGGGCCCATAAACATAAAGCTTGCAATCGGCCGATGGGGATCTGAAAGACCTGCTCTTGAACGTTGGATTGCTTCGGATACCGCCTTGACAGCAGGATCTTGACCTACAACACGTTTATGGAGTTCGTCCTCTAAATATAACAACTTCTCCCTCTCTGATTGTTGAAGTTTAGAAATTGGAATACCAGTCCACTTGCTCACAATTTCACCAATATCATTCCCAGTAACTTCCTCTCTCAGCATAGACTTACCAGAGCTCATATAATCATGTAACTCCTTCTCTGCACTCTCGAGTTGTCGTTGCAAAGCATTTAGACTGCCATACTTCAATTCAGCAGCACGATTAAGATCGTACTCCCGCTCAGCCTGTATGATCTCAAGGTTTACCCTATCTATCTGCATACATAAATACATGGAAATGATCAGAATAAGATATCCTTGTTTCAATAAACAAAAATCATGTTCTTTGTATCACAACACCTCTGAAAAAATGTGTCAAAAAATGTGTGCAAGTGTCGGAGTCCAAAACCGACACTGACAATTGTGATTAAGTTTAATTTATTTTTTCAAATTATTACCGGTGTCAACGTGTCAAATGTCAGTGTCGTGTGGTGTCTGCGCTTCATAGATCATGTTTAAATAACAAAACAAGAGAAATTTTAGCAAAACCAATAAAAATCTGATGACACACCTCTTCTTTGATTGACTGAAGACGGGTCATTACAGACTTTTCATGCTCCCATTGCTGAGTCAGCTCATCCTGTTTCACTTTTAGGAGAGAGAGCTCTGTCTCAAGACGGTTTAACCTATCTTTAGAAGCCTTGTCCGTATCGTTCATGAGTGATAGCCTCTCCATCTCTAGCTTCAAAACTGACCTATTAATCTCATCAAGTGCAGTAGGCTTAGAAGTGATTTCCATTTTCAGTTTAGCAGCTGCTTCGTCGACCAGATCAATAGCTGCAATTTATAAATATCTAGCAGTTAGAACTTTATGAGCATTATCGATGCTTAAATCTGTCAGAAAATGTGCTAACCGAAAATCCAAACCACATTCTTATTAAACTCGGGATGCATCCAATCCTAAGAATATAATTGTAATTATTTTCTAGACAAAATGAAATTTCCCAATCTTTGTTCAATGTAAGAGTTTTGATCTATGAAGCACGGACACCGATACTGATACGTAGGCACCGGTAATAACTTGAAAAAACGAATAAATAGAATGTAATCACAAGTGTCAGTGTTGTCCGACACTGACACGCCTTTTTTCAGAGGTGTCTGTGCTACAAAGATTTTTATTTAAGAGTAGTTACTACCTTTGTCGGGCAAAAACCGCCCACTTATGTATCGATCTGAGAGAATCGCAGCATCTACAAGTGCAGTGTCAGAAATGCGAACTCCATGATGCAACTCGTATCTTTCACGCAACCCCCTTAGAATTGAAATGGTATTTTCAACTGAAGGTTGGTCAACATAAACTTGCTGAAAACGGCGTTCTAGTGCAGGATCCTTCTCAATATACTTCCTAAACTCATCTAATGTTGTTGCACCAATACATCTTAGTTCCCCTCGACCAAGCATAGGCTTTAAGAGATTACCAGCATCCATAGCACCGTTTGTAGCACCTATAGCATATAATAGATTATAGTTGCATTAAAATTCAACATCCATATGTTAACTATAAATCGCCTTTCAAACAACTTTTACAATAGTAATAAAATCAAGTCGAAAACTTTGAAGCTCATTACCTGCACCAACAACTGTATGGATCTCATCGATGAAAAGTATAGTCTGACCATCAGATTCTGTAACTTCTTTGAGAACGGCTTTCAGCCTATCCTCAAATTCTCCCCGATATTTTGCTCCAGCAATAAGTGCACCCATATCAAGAGATATAAGCTGAAAAATCATAGTGAATCAATTTTGCATCAACTCTGACATATACACAATTCAAGAAGGAGAACAAAAGAAGACAAATTTTACACCGTTAATTGTCACCACTATTGTCTCTTTTTCTTCTATTTTCCGTGTTATCAAGAATATTAGAATAGCCTAATTGGATAAAGCACATACCCTTCGATTCATCAAAGCTTGAGGGACATCTCCTTGAACAATTCTCTGAGCAAGTCTGTATGAAACGTAGAGTTAGGTCAGTGTGCAAAACATATTAACAAAAAGATTAACAAAAGCATCCATATAAGATACGAGCACGTATATAAACTACTCGTGCTAAAAATAGTTACGAACTCACCCTTCAGAAATCGCAGTCTTTCCAACACCAGGCTCGCCAATTAGCACAGGGTTGTTCTTTGTTCTCCTGGAGAGAATTTGAATGCACCTCCGTATTTCATCATCTCTTCCTATCACAGGGTCAAGTTTTCCTGCTTTCGCCATTGCTGTCAAATCTTTCCCGTATTTTTCCAACGCCTCATACTTTCCTTCAGGATCTATAACATACGATATAAATATTGAAACTAAATTTAAATAAATTGAGATAATATAGAAATATTGAAAAAGCAGAGAGACGGGCATGTTATGTCTTTCTACTAGTAGTAACTATAAAAAGAAGACGAATAATAAATGACCTTGATCAATGACTGATTGGCGTCCCCTTACGGACTCTATAGCAGTTTTTAGAGATTGCTGAGATATTTGAAAGTCTCTAAACAATATCTTCCCAAATCGTCGATCCTGAGCAAAACCAAGAACCAAGTGCTCAACTGATACAAACGAGTCCCCATATTCCTTCTTGAAATCTCTGGCTCTCTGAATCAATGCCTCCAAATCACGCCCCAACATTGAACCGGCAGATTCCCCTAGTACCTAACATAATTTAATAAGAATGGTAAACTTCATTACAATTCCTATTTAGGTCTTAACTTCTACTAACAAAAAACATGCCTAAAAAGGAAATAGAAAGAAAATACGGATAGAAATAACCACAAGCACCAAACCATATCTGACTTGGTCAATCAATTACCTTGGGCTGGCGCTGAATGTGCTTTTCGGTAGCTTCAAGAAGCCGAGTGTTATCGACTCCAACCTTGGAAAAGATTCGACGAGCAAGCCCGTTCTTTTGCTCTAATAAAGCTTTCATCAAGTGCTCAGTCTCCACAATCTGATGCTTGTTCTGCTTCGCCACTTCTGGCGAAGACACAATCGCTTGCCACGCCATTTCAGTGAATTCTTGCTGTGAAACCTACCATTGCATCAAAAAAAGCAATTCAAACCACTATACTTTGAAAACCCAACCAGACACAACAATTAGCAGGGTCGTCTTTGAGTGCGTCAGTTAAACCATAACTAAATTGGGCCTCATAAAATGTTTGTCAGACATGGTTAAATTGCGACTAATCTATACAAGTCCTCGGAAAACTAGCATCACAAATGACCCAAATTACAAAGAAACGCAATTTCCAGAATTAAACTGAGCTTGAATATTTACTTTCTCGTATATTGAGCTTATACTTGTGCACAAGTTATATGTTATAAAAATTGTTATAAAAGTTTATACCTTTCCAGTTGAATCTGCACAACGAACAGTGAAGGGTTTAGGGTTTCTTCTAATTCTCGAAACCCCATTTGAAAAAGCTTCTCTTTTCTTCAATGGAAGTGCCTTTAGGGAAGTGGGTTTCAATTGAGAGGTGAGGGAAGCTTGAAACGGAGAGAATTGAGTGTTGTTTCCGTTACGGAAATTTGGAAGAGAGTGGTGAAGTATGAGATGTGAAAACAACGTCGTTGATCCCATCGTCGGAGAATGAAAACTCCGAACAAATTACGCGGCGAGTTTATTCGTGTGAAGAGATAGTGAAGAGTGAGAGTTAGAAAGCGTGAAACAGTTTTTGAAGAGTTCTAGAAAAACGCGACCATATTTTTCGGTATGTTCGGTTTTCACATTACCTTAACTAGGTTCACACACGTGGCCACTTTTCTTAGTGGATATTTTTTCTTTTTAATTTTCTTAGAGTTTGTTATATGATACACCAGTGGGAAATCTGGCTGCATGATTTTCATATCGCGTAATTTAATATTAATTTGTAAAGTTCTATCTTGTGTCAAAAATAAACTAATAAAAAATAATTAAAATACAATTAATTTTGAACGAAATACTAAATTATACAATAAAATTTACATGACTTATAAAAATAATATCTAAATTTTTTAGCATTATAAGTCCAAATGTAAACTTCTCAATATTATAAATTTCATAGTTGAACTTGTTAATGAATAAATCAACCAACAACAACGACTCGCAGCATACATCTGCATGGGAAAATATATTAAATAAGACATTCAATATTAAGTATGTTTTTAAAAATTAATGTAAATACGTGGAATTTAAACACATAAATTAAATATTGGGATTTAATTTGTATCACAAAGGATTAGGTGAAAAAGATTACCAACTAACAAAGTGCTTGGAAGACTTCTTTGTATACAACATTCGTAGTGGTCGAACACAGTGTATTCTGTTTGTCATGTATTAAGATTTTAAGACCACTTTTGGTTGTAACCCTCGAAATTGCAACATACAATTATCCATGACTAAAAACAGGTGTAGGCAAATATAATCCATTATCAAGCGATTGACCTTGGGATTTATTAATTGTCATTGCATATGAGACAATGATTGGAAATTGTCTCCTAATCAACTTGAATGGCCACGGTGACTCAGAAGGTGACATGGACATTTGAGGAATGTAAAAAATGCTACCTATGTTTTTTCCGGACTTAATTTTTGCCTCAATGACGTGATTTATTAACCTTGTAACAATTAATCTTGTTCCATTGCACAATCCATCAGTGTGATCAAAATTTCTCATTAGCATGATGGGGGTACCAACCTTCAATTTGATCATATGATTTGGAAGGTCTGATGTTCTTAGTTTACTTAGGAATTCTAGGGTTAGAACTTCATAAGCTTCGATATATATTGTATCGGTTCTATTAATTGAATCGAAACTTAGATACTCTTTCTCTTCTCCTAAAAAATGCCATGAAGTGTAAATATTAATACATTAATAGAACCAACATGATAAAAATTTGTTGTTGGAAGTTGTGTGCATATATATAGATTAAAGTTAAAATTATATTACCTGGTATCATGTTTAATACATAGTGGATGATTTTATCCACAACTTCAATGGTTGATGCAAGAATAGTTTTTCCTTGTAAGTATCCAACATCCTGAAAATTGTCACGCAAATTGGGATATGTGCTATCAACAATAGCTTTAATAGGATCCTCAAAATTGGATATCAATAATTCTTGAGGAATCTCTATCTCAACCAATCCATCATTTGGTTCACATATCTTATCATCCCCAACATTTAAGATCCATTTTGAAAACTCAGCTAATTAATTTGAATTTGTATTATCTCTTCTCTGCTGCAGCCTCATATTTTTTGTTAGTGTTAGAACTTGATAATAGTCGCATACATATAATGAGCATATTGATGCATGGACAATATCAAAACGCCCCGCTCTTGGAACAACTGAAAGTATCTGTCTGAAATCTCCTCCAAAAACAACAACTTTCCCACCAAAGATTTTATTCGCAATACTGTGTTTGCTCATGACATCTTTGAGTGTCTTATCCAATGCCTCAAAACAGTTCTTATGAGACATAGGAGCTTCATCTCATATTATAACATCGATTGCTTCAAATAAATGTGAATGTTCGTCATTTTTTTCAACATTGCAAGTAGAGTTGTTAAGCGTTGGCACTGGTATTTTGAACTTTGAGTGAGTCGTTCTTCCACCTGGAAATAATAAAGAAGCTATGCAACTTGAAGCAACGGTAAGAACAATTTTTTGCTGAGAACGAAGTGCACTTGATAATGTTCTCCACATGAAAGTTTTACCGGTCCCTCCATAACCATGTAGAAAAAAAATAACCCTCCTCTTTATTTGTCTACACCTTCCATAATCGTATCAAATATTGACCGTTATTCATCTGTGAATTAAAATGGAAAAATTATTATGTGTATAACAAAAATAAACCAATTTTAATATCACAACTTGTGAATAAAAATTAAAAGAATAACCTGTAAGTGTGCGATAGAGAGTTCGGTAATTTTGTCGTTCGATTTGGGAATTATAATTGTGTTCATCCCAAATCAGTCTATTTCCAACGTGGCATGTGACATATGAATCTGGATAAGGTATATCTTTAAATTCATGCAAACTTCTTCAATTTGATTGCAACATATTCTCAATCTCAATTAGTGTCAAATTCTTCAACTATGTTATTGACAACTACATATCTATAAAAAATATACAATCAACATTTCACATACAGATTTATGACAATAATCACATAAATATTCAAATTATATAAATTAACGGCAAAGTAAAATGTATGGCAACATTAAGTATATATTTGACAATGTTGCATTACAATGAAATTACAACAGCAGCATAAAATACAAAATGGCGGCAATAAATTAAATGTATTAATAGAAGCAACATGTACATCAATATGAATGTTTACACGGCTGCGTTAAGAACTACATCAGTATCATCCATATACAGATATTTTCAGTAGCAGCATTGTTCAAATAAATGGGAAGTCTATTACAGCAAACAATTGTGTGCATGGTTTTTAAATAATACATATTATAATGTTTATAAATAACTTGTATCCAATATCTTGTTGATATATAAATGTAATAGTAACCTCGATCGGTCATTTATTAAAATATATATTAATATACTAAAAAAATTAAAAAATTGGAATGTACCTCTTCTATTTGTCGCTTGTCTTTGTTGATAAACAATGCCATAAGATAACGTGCTCCAAGTTTTTTCCCAAACATGTTGTGGTCTATTAATTGTTTCAGATAGTAGCATAGTAACAAATAACTTTCTCAGAAAATGTCGAGAACCCCAATCCTTCGCCATATTTATGGCTGCAACATACTCCTTGTCATCGTTAAGAAAGCCCATTTCGAAGCATGCGTCCCGAAAACTATCCCTAATTATTCCACCCATTTTTTTAATATCATCATAACATTTTGGCCCCTTGACAACTGTAAGCATCATTCTTAGGTAATACAGCTCACCGGTACTTGGAGGAACCCAAATTAGTCTTCCAATTGTATGGCCTCTCTTACATGGTCTCCATCATCGATATCTTTTATCATAAACAAACTTGGTCAGAAAATTAGAGTATGTCAGATTTCTTGCCTCTGCATATGTCTTGTTTGCTTCCATCCAAGCGGTAAACATTGATTCTTTCACATGAATATACAAGACATATGGCTTCATATGTTCAGGAGATCTCCCATGAATATGAAATGAAAAGATCCTCCAACATGCTTCACTTGGTGAGACATATCTACAATCAAGATATTGCTTGATTTCTTCAACGTTTCTAGTATGTGAAGATCCGTCTATCTCATTATCGAAAACAGCTGCGGTAATTCTATCACACCCCTTGTTAATATACTTGAATAAGTACTTAACCGAAGTACCCTGATTACACCACTCCATATTGATGTGTCCCTGGAATTTCTTCAACAAAAATGGGTTATAAGGAACAACGTATCTGTTATCGAGCACTACATTCTTCTTCATCACTGTAATTCCAGTTTCCCTTCTTATGTACATAGCATATCCATCATGATCAACAACTGTTTGAGGCTGATATTGTTTGGGAAAGAATTTAGTGCGCTTTCCGTTTTTCATACAAGGTGAAGACTGATTTGCTAAACCACATGGCCCATGAATCATATGTGTCTTAACCAAATAATACAATTGTCTATCATCATTTTCAGATGGTATCTCTGCTGAAATGATATTGTTTATGTCATCTGGAGTGAGATACTTGCTTGAGGGATACATGAATAGCAGAATATGTGCATGTGGTAATCTGCGCTTTTGGAACTCAATTGTGTGTGTGTGTGTATATATATATATATATATATATATATATATATATATATATATATATATATATATATATATATATATATATATATATATATATATATATATATATATATATATATATATATATATATATATATATATATATATATATATATATATATATATATATATATATATATATATATATATATATATATATATATATATATATATATATATATATATATATATATATATATATATATATCTGAAAATATTGATATTAGTAACAAAACATGTATATAAAATATATTCCTTTTATATAGATAAAGTCACATAATGAGAACTTGACGAATATATAGTAAATACAACTTACATGCAACCACTCTCCCTAAGACATGCTTCTTTGTTAGATCACACAACAACTCATCTAACTTAATTTTAAACGCTCTTGATATAATATATGGACGATCATGAGGTTGCATATTAACTTTGTTAAGTAACCTTTGAATTTTTGGCCAATTTGGATTGCATGTAAAAGTGATAAAAAGGTCCAGAAAACTAATATGTTTGCATATTGTCATCCCATCAAAATATTGTTGTTCCATGTATCTACAACTTCCAACATAGGTTGACGATAAAATGACTCTTTTACCTTTGTTTTCCCCTTTAGTGTTTTCCCTTTGTTCAGGACTAGACAAATTGGAGTACTTAGACACTCTAAGTTTTTTCTGATGCTTGTGGATATAATTCAATCTTTGGGACTCCATCATAGAAAATCCATCTATCAAAAATTGCTAAAACAACCGCCTTGACTTCAAAAGAGTATGTGCTTTATTTTGACGACTTTGAATCCTAAAATCTAGCCATTCTCTA